ACATAATACCAAGCATGCTCTAACTACTTGATTTAAGCATTATGAGAACTGATTTGGGTTAAGCAAACATCCACTGTATACCTGGGACAAGTGTCCTTATGGCAGAGTCAAGGAAAGATTCACCAAACACCACAGAACCCAAGATCTGCCCAGGGTGCTCTATACTTGGTATGTCATACAAATACAGACATGCCTGAAACAACACACAATAAAGCAAAAACAATTTGAAAAGTGAAGACATTGGGAAGGCAAAAACAAAAAAATTGTCAGAAGATCAATGTTATCAATGCATACAGTGTACACAGTATCAAGGAATAACAATAAAACTCTACAAATTAAATGTAAACAGTCAGTTTTAAATATCTAAATACTAAAAGCTTACTTTTTTAATACCAGAGATTGGTATATCCTCATGTAAATCAACACTCCTAGAAATGAAAGATAATAGAATTAGTATTAATAATAATTAACAAACTTTACAAAATGTATTTAAATGTGCAAGTTTAATTTCTTGACAGTAAACAATTCAATAGCAGAAAGTAATATGTACCTCCCATAAAAATCACAAGCTTCCACAGAAAACTTCACATTGTTGGATAAAAAGGAAGATTTCACTTCAATATGTCTTTCTTCCAAACCTCGCTTGAGCTCTGACAGAACACTTGAGTAACTCTTAAAAGAGGTGAGGGAAAGTAAAAGCAAAGATTAAAAACACTTCATTTCCTATAAGGTTTCAGTTGCCATTGTGTTATTTACCTTTCTTTCATTAAATGTTTGTGAAAATGTCTTGACTCCTTCCAACACAGCATTAATTGACAGAAGATAAAGTTCCATTAGCAGCCTGAATTGAAATAAAGAAGACAAGTGTTCAAGTCCTTCCACATATATTGTAGAGGTATGTGCAAAGTCTAAAATGACTTACTACTGTTTATTAGGCTTTGCTGTTGATAGCCAATGTTACATACCTCAAGTCCTTACTATGCATAACTGACTCATTCTTTGCTGCATCGCTCACTGAACATAATGCACATTCAGTTCGTAGAAAATATGTTCTTGCACAAGTTATTCTTCCTTTAGGTTCCACAGCAAAAGAGACCTTTGAAAAATTGTTTAAGGCTGAAAGTTATTGTTGTAGTTTAGGTTGTGTGTCTACTATTTTGGATTGAGAGCATTAGTTCAGCCTACTTGACTAATGACTGGCCTGTCCAACTAAATGTTGCATTTGTAAACAAGGGTATTGTCCTTAGATAAAAATTTTCTGACATCTCACCATATGTTTAGCAGGAGCACCATTAATGCCACTATTTCCAATTGCAGTGTTATTATTAGAAGTGGTTTTTTCACAACTGTGTATATTTTTTCTTGTGGAGTGGGCTCCCAGGAAAACAAAAGGTTGAGAATCTTCTGGGGAACTGCAAGGAGAACAAATCAATCAGTCAATAGTAAATCAATAGATTTCTTTCAGGCAGTTGACTCTGTTTTACTTTTATTGCTACGTTAACTCATCATCAGAACACATCGCTAGATACTTATCAAGAGGTCAAGTGCAACTTCTACAATATGACCTCAACTACAGGCCTCATGTATATTGAGCATTTATAATTCAAAATCAGTCTTTCTTGAAACCTTTGTGTAAATCGCTCTCTACAGAAGCTGTGTACTTTTTTAAATAGACATTTAGTTCTTGTCCAAACTAGAGTATTACCTCTTAGCACTGCTCCTGTCGACAATGTGTCCATGAGTAAAGTAACTCACAATGGGCTTCAAGAATAAAAACACAATGACGGCAAGGAAGTTTCTCAAAATTGACCATGTCATACTTAAGCTTCCCATATATAAACAGGTGTTACTCTTTCCTTGATCTTCAGCTAAGAAAGGGAAAGTGGCTGATACAAATCATATCATGACTACGATGTATATTTAACAAATAACAGCTTAAACACCACAACCAAGTAAGTAACACAAATTTGCACCCAGCTAGTGTCATTTTTAAAAGTATTTTAGCATGTGTCCTTGTCACCAAACAATCACACAGTGAGGAAAATATTCACCATAGTTCCTTCTAAGCCAGGTCTGCAACTAACCTCGCTCAAACTTCTCTCTGTTACTTTAAGAAGCTCAGTTGGGCTGCAAGAAATAAAGAGATTTCATTCTTAACGAAAACCTGTTTAAGGTATTTAGATGGCACATTTGAATCACCAAGAATCAACTCCAACTTTCATGAATACAAGGGATCAAAATGACACATTAACACTATGTTACACTCACCTCTCTGCATCCACATTTGAAAGAATGGATTTACAATGACGTTCAAACAAAGGAAGAGTCTGGAGGAAAGCAGGGAAAGAAAATATAGTACACCTTTGTTAGTGACTAAATTTAATTCTAAAACTAATTTCAATATGTTCAGGATGGAATTATAACCCTAGAGAGATTTAAAACGGTGACTACTGAATTAAAATGTACACTGTTTAATTCTTACAACAATTTTCAATTGAGTGTCCAGAGTAATCTGCAATTGCTTTGGTTTTGCCTTACTTTGCTCTGTGATTTGTCCAGAAAATGTGTGCCACTGTTACAACCAACCACATTCAAGACTAAAACCAATCAAAGTTGGTCACTTGCTTTTTTCCACACTTCATGCAGTTTTCTTTCCCTAAATTTAACTTCTTAGGTTAGCCATTGAGATACCTTTTTTTTGTATGTATTGTGCAACACTCAATCAAACAGTGATTCCTAAATTACTTAATTTGTTGTAGATAAACAGACTAAAAACAAAATTAGCCATTAATACTAGTTACCTCCGTGATAAGGGTTTCTACAGCCACAGGGTCCAACAAGCCATAAATCTGGTCCAGTTCTTGAGTGACATCACTGACCTAACCATTGTTAAATACAGTAATCATTAAAGATTCTTTTATCACAAATGATGTGGACAGCCATGTCCTCGACAACATCTTACCACCATAAGGCTCTTCTTTATCAAGGGGTATAACGGGGCACAACACTGACGAGATAGGGAGGGGAGGGGGGGTTAAAGAGGAAAGTATTAGCCCCTCTAAGAAGGATGCCATATCTGATCATTTTATGTTTCCAAAACTGCAATTAACTCCAAAAGCCACACTAATCAGTCTTACCTTTGCAAGGTAGAGTTATTGTAAAAACTTACTGTCAACCAAAATTTCCTCTTACCCTGTGCTTCATAGTGAAAAATCCCCCACTGCAGAGGCAAAAAGATAATAAATTAATGATTATTGCATCATACCAATAACACTCTCCTTAAAGACATGACAATAGACTACATAAAAACAAGGGAAACAAAAACAAGCAGAGCACAGTTTTGTTACAAGCAAAAATTTATTAAAAGTGATTAATACAGTAGACTGTGGAAGCAAAAAGTTATCAGGTGAGAAAGGTATATGTTACCTGCCAAAACCCTCCAGTGCAAATGCTTGAATTAGGGGCCATTTTTCCAACACAAATGGGTCAAAACAAGGCTGCTGATCACCAGGGGTGGGTACTAATAAATAACAACATATTGTTAGCTTACTACTTACAGGGATGTCAGTTTTTAGGCTAACATACTGGTTTTCTCCAAGAGACTTGTATTCTTTCACAGTCTGGATACTCAGTGCAAAACAGTTGGAAATTAACAGCCACATTTGAGTAGTTCTCCATTATAATGTCACTTCTTACATAATCTAAAAAGTTCAAGATCCAGTAGCTTTTATGGTAAATATTTACACTTCATCCAGTACACAACATGCATGTTCAATAGAAAACACAAGCTGACAAAACAATTGCAGTCATCATAAACTACCCCAAAAAACATTTATCTATGTATAATGAAACAATGAATAGCTACAAGTTTGTTTGTCCTCAGTAGCCATGTTGTAATTTAGTGCTATTACATTGTAACCTATTCTTTAAAACAATAAACTGCCAACAACAATATCAAACAAAAGGACTACCTCATACATACCTGATGAGGCAGATGTATTCAGCCATGTGTGCATGTGCAATTTTCTGATGTGCACAATTTTTTTTTATTTCCAATTGCATACGATTTTTAGTGCGTTTTATTCTTGTTTTTAGGTTAGAGTGTACACAAGCGGTACTGTAGAAATGGCAATCCTACATACCTCCATATGGTATACCAAGACAATCACACCCCTCTACCATGGATATGAAACTTAGAATCTTGAATTCTTCAGCCTTCTCTTCATTATCTATATACTAAATGCAAATTGTCATCAAAGACAGAAAAATTAAAATCAAGATGTAGCACTCTTTGTCTTATTTTACCAACTAGTTAATAAAATTAATCTAGTCTACCCAGGGCTACAAGTTACATGTATGTTGTTTTCATGAAGGTTCACTCACTCTTTATAGGAGGATGCAACAGAGCCAGGTCTGAACATTTCAATGGATATTTGGCAAATCAAGTCACAATATTTAAAAAATACATTTAAAATAGTGAATGATATTAATTGTCCGAAGCAATTCCAAGACAAACCTATAAAACGTTTGAGTATTTGCTCTCACTCTTTGAGAGATGACTCTTTACTGAATGTTCTTAATGCTAAGTCGGGTTTTGATGAAAAAACTTTTGAATTTGCTGCTGTAAGAGACTGGAACTCTCTACCAAGGGATATCAGAACTATAACAAATCTCAGCACCTTTAAAAGTAAACTCTGAATTTTTATTACAAGAGAATCACAATCAACATAAATGCTCTTTGGCTTAACTGATTAGTTGAATTATTATTATTTTAATTAATACAATGTTCATAGAAAATATGTTATAGATACTAATAAGGACTATGTTATAATTTATTTATTCTTGTAAATTCTTATTTTTACTATTTTGTATCATGATATTTTTAGTTCTTTTTTATGTATTTATTATAATTTTATTATATACAGATTTTATACTATATATATGCACATGGGTTAATACCAGATAGTCTTTTTAGTCTATCTGATCCATTATTTTGCATTTCAAATAGAGATTATTGTTACTATTATTATTATTACTATTATTATTATTAACACAAACACACACAGTACCAGGTCCTTGTCAAGGCAGTGGACATGCAGATTCCTCCAATGTGCAATGCGTGGCAGCAGCAGAGGATAGTTGATTGGATTACAGTACACATGAACACTTCCTGCCTTCACAACAACCAGAATGTCTGCCAACAAACATATAACATCAAAAGGACATTTTTAGCTAATAGTTCATACTGCATCAGTGTATTCATTGTAAGTAACAAACATGGGTTTCATGAAATTCTTCTAAAACAACAAAACTGTAGAACATTGCTTGTTACAACTCTCCCTCTTTAGGATAAACTGTGTCCATCCTCATTACCTCTAAACACCTGACCATAAAAACCTCAGGAAAAATTATAAAACAGCACGACTGTACCAATAAAATGAAAACAAATTTTAACATGATGGTTATAATCAAGAATAACAATGTTGCAGTACAAATATGCATTGGAAATACAATTACCTTCTAGCTCCTCTTCTGTAATTTTACTTCCACTGTAATAATAAACATCACAATTGTTAAATTAGTATTATTCTCAGATGTTTTTTTTATATAATTGACTGGGTCAGAAAGGGAATATGATTGTTTTGACACAAAGAAATGAGACCAAGAACTTGCACCAGAATACATGTTTCCACATACTTAAACCAACAGTAATGTCATACCAATTGAAAAGAAATTTTCTCACTTCAGTGTGGCCTATGGATATGTTTTGTGTGAATGCCTGCTTAAAAAGTTCAGAGGTGACTGCATTTCACATCTGTGGTTTACTCTCACCATTCTTTTTCTTACCTAAAATCCACTGGCGTGAGTTTACAAAAGCCAAAGAGTAAGTAGTTGAGAAGGCTTTTGGTTCCACCATTGTACCTAAAACAGTCCCATTAATTGTCATTAAATAATTACTGGTGATCAAAAGGTTTTAACTTTGTTCAAGATTTATTTATAATAATAATATTAATAATAATTTAATGCTTGTAAGTTTAAACAGCATAATTTAAATATATTTTTTCACAAATAATTAAAGAAACCATAACAACATCAAACATGAAAATATGGTAATGAGAGAAGTACAGGTATCTTACCTGCTATCAATACCTGTATAAGCAAAAAGGAAGATAATATCATTTGTTTATAACAAATTATCAAACATGTGCAAAGGGGCAGCTAAAGGCTCAATAAAAATATTGGTAGTTAATTTTTACACAAACAACTTGTGAGATGTTGATATATGCACATTTTAAATCAAGTGCTAGAACAGCCTAAAACAGACTTGCCTGTCAGTTGTCCTTTCTTAAAACAGAGCCTAAATTAACATATTCACCTTATTAGATCAAGAAAAATGAATGGCTGTTTTTAATCATACATCATTTGGCAAACAGGAATACAAAACACTGAGACTTATCAGGTAAAGGTTGTAATCCTGATCAAATACCAATTTCTCCTAACTAATTAACAAGGAAATGTGTAGCAGCAAAATTAACAATTAGATCTTTGGAGTAATAGGCTTTGGCCTGACTTTTTTACTAGCGAAAACTTTCCTGGAAGCATCTTGTATATGCTACCCCTCTTGAATGGAATTAAAAGTTTCCCAAATTGGCTAGGTTTTCCATCCAGTTTGCTGGTGTGTAATTATACCCATGACTATTTGTGTGTGACAATTTGATGTCATGCCTAAGATACAACACAATTACTATGGCCAGGGGTCAAAAATGTACCTCAAAAACATTCAGATGAGACAGCCAACCAGTGGAGTCACCACTAGCAGCACACAAAGTCATCTCTAGAAATGTTTTATACCACAGTGAAATAACACAAATTATTTCAATTTTAAATTTTAATTTCAGTCACCATTACATATACACTACATATATATGGCACAGCAAAGTTACTTGCATGGCCTAACAATAGACCTATGGGTGGCTACTGAAAAAGATTTGTTTTTTTCATTTGCACTCTTACCAAGTATACAGAGGATGCCATCTATCTTGGAAAGTTGATTTTTATCGCACCTTAACAGCTCCTGCACCTTCCGTAACCTTGCACAACTGTAAAGTATCCATAATTTTGTGACAACACATTAATCATATGCAACATAAACTTTACCAGACTGAAGAAATTGTACTCTTTTTGACATCTGGAAATTTCCTCTAAACTAGCCAGAATAGGATATCAGCACATGCCTAGTTCCCCTTAAATTGTTTGGGTGGAGCTTCCAAGAGCATTAAACTCAGCTGTGCCTGAGAACATTGTCCTTCATCACATAGTGACAAATGTGTGGCTTATACAAACAAAGCCAGCCCAGTAGATCTAAAACTTTGGAATGGAGCTTACATGACCAAGAGGAATTTTTTTAATGAAGAAACAAAGGAGCATTAAAAAGTATGTCATGCAAATGTTTCTTCACAATTTAACTTTGGACTATGAACAATAAATGATGAAAATATTACAACTTGCTATAGGACTACCAATCACAGTATGCCAAATTGCAACTAAAGCTGCAAATTTGGTGGCAAGATTTTTTTTCCTTGTCTGAAAGAACAAAATGTTTGCTGCTTGAGCATGAGGCACTATACTCTTAAGAATCAATATACATGTAGAGCCTTTTGAGCAAAATGATCTTATAACAAATTAATGAACATTTAAGCCTAAGGTTGATTTTATTATACCTTTTCTACAGGTATGTTTAAAACTAAGTTCTCAAACATTCACTTTAAAAAGGGAAGGCATAAAACGCATGACTTATGTTCCTTTGATGATAAGCTTATTAGATATCATTTTGTGGTTCCCTTAGTATAGGGTATTAACCATCACTGACAATTCTCTCCAGATTACAAATTGTTACAGTTTGGGAAAAGATACTTGACTGCTAATAGTTACATGTACTATATTTCCTTCCTACTCTTACCACAAAAGTGATAAGGTAGCTAGAAGGTGTAGATTTTTCTAACACTACAAGGCTCTGTGATGACAGGGGCTGACAGGTAACCAACAACAAAGTAAAACTAATGACTGAAGAATCCACAACAAAGTCCACTTATTAGCTCCAAATTCAAATTTCTTGTCAACAGCAGGAATTATAACATAGATGAAAAATAAAACAGCAATCAAAGGCAGCAATAATTTTAAAGTTGTGTATATTTATTACAGAACAATGTTCTCAGCAAGAGGTCACAAAAAAAATTTCTATGGCATTTCTACTTTAAATTGCTTTTAAACAAAGGTAACACTAATTGTGGACTATTAATCTTTAAGAGTCACTGTCCTTTGTAATTTAATTCTCACGACTGGCATGAAATTAGCACCACAAAAAAATAAATTTGAATTTAATATTCTTGAGTAAAAATTTCAAATTAAAGGTAAACAAGGACAGCATGATATTGTTCTGCATAAGCCCATTTTGGACTTTTAGATTACCCTGACCATGGACAAACCCAAACACACAACAAAGGTTACTTTTTGATGAAAGATGACCTCTGCTCAAATTGTCTTGATGTATCTGCCAACAAAACAGGTTCTTCTCTCCACTATGATGAAGTTCCTCACACTCGTCAAATTTTCAGACGAAAGAAGACAGTCAAATATCAATAACTTCGCCAAATAACTTATTTCAAAGGTGTAAACTTCAAAGTAAACACCAAGAATCATCTAGAGCCACCTGGCCATGCCAATGTTTGATTTTGATTCAGGTTAGTAACAAATTAACATAAAAAGATGCCAACTTCAAAGAAATCAGGTGAAAGAGAGCAAAGTGACAAACTCCTAAGCAATAAAAATTTTCCATAACTTTAAACATCTTCCTTCCATTTAGTTGTCTTTTTTAGTACTTGTGACTTAATGGAGGATTTCACCCTTCATATTAATATTAAAATATTACAATGAGACACAAAGGACACTTCAAAGGGAGGAATTTGTTAACTGGCTGAGTAGTATTTGAACACATGGTGAAATGTAAACTTATCAGTGAAACCAAACATGCCAAACAATTGATACAAACTAATATTATATTTCTGTGGTTACATAAATTGAAACAACAACATAATCCTGTAAGACTTAGAGGCTGCTTGGTCCAACAGTGGGAAAATTGTTCCATAATGACATTAACAATTATGGGGAATATGTTACGAATTAATTTTAAAAAGCACTTCCTTAAAAACTTTATTTTTTAGTATAAATTTGACAGATATTGTTTCACTGGAGGAAAAAATCTGAATAAACAGGAAAGGTAGAAAGTCTGGATACACTAATCAACACACACTTTTCCAGACATAACAATAATTTGGAAATAAATGAGACAGAGCAAAGAATATTGGAGCTCAACCTTTCAACTAAATGTAATTCTGCTTTTTTTCAGGCTTTTAAACCCTTGATATCCAAATGGCGTCATGTACAGCGTAGATTGTATTACTGCTCTTGTTGTTTTGTTCATTTGCAAGTTTAATCATGACTGCTTTTGATTGCTCTCCATAGATCACAGACAGTTCTGTCTTTGTAATTCAAACTATGATTACATCAGAAAAACAAACAGACCACAGCTGAGAAAATCAACAGTTCATTTGGAAATTTCTAGCATATTAATGACAAGAATGCTCTCATTTAGCAATGAACTTGATCAAAAACTTTTTGCTTTTACTACATGGTGCTCTCTTACTTTGCTTTTAAATATATAAATGATCCAGTAAGTCATTCTGATAAGTATGGGAAATGACAATGGGATTTAAACACATGGGAGAAATAAGGAAAAAAACTATTCTCTATTACTAAGTCAAAGAAAAAATATATGCCCCTGAATGACTTTTTATACCACATCAGGTCTACGTGGTTAAAAGCAAACACTAATAACAACTAGCACAATTTTTGAAGAAAGGCTTCACATGACTTAGTGCACAAGGATTTGTATTAACACTGCTACCATGGAATCCCAATAAACAGTGGTTTGCAATAGAAATCTTTCTATTTTACTAAATAACCTTATTAAGGATCACTTGATCAGCTCAACTGTTTCTAGTCCCAATAATTTCCATGAGCTATAAAGATCACAAAGACTACACTATCACCCTAACACAGCATTTAGGACTGAAGACTTTAAAATGAGACAACATTTTCACATTTCAAGTGAAAATCTGTCTTCCCACACTAATAATAAAGAGAACTGAACATACACAAACATACAAATAACCAAACACTTCTTTTATCCGGGGTGCATATCACAGTCTACTACCATAGTCTTCCTTAAGGCCCCTAGACATTAAAACAAACATTAACAATACTGTGGTACAACTATGACTCTTCTTTTTGAGGATTTGTTCAAACAACTTGAACGATGTATCAGGAGAGAACAACAGGGATCCAACCCCAACTTTCTTCAAAGTTGCCATACAGCAACCTGAAATGGGAACCAGAAATAATAATTTGCTCATGAAATATTGATTACACCTCCAGTCTTAAGAATATCGAGCATGGCTATCATTAATTTTTGAAAATTCACCCAACATCTCAAGGCTCAATATTCAACCAACCAAAGAGGAAGAAACATGTTTTAAGGGGAGAAAATAACAGAGCATGAAAAACTTTTTAGGAAAAATTTTTACTCACTTTGACTTGGGATCATAAAACTAAGTCATAAAAATGTCACAGCTTATTGAACAACCAATTGGCCACTTACATGGCAATAAAGTACCCAAAATAATTTCCGTATTCAAAAGAGTTGCTGCTTGATGCACTTATCAAAACAGTCAAAGTTAATATCTTAGCCAAAGCTATTGATTTGCCAAAGCTAATGATTTACCAAAGCTAATGAGCTCTTATTTGGTATGGCCTTGCCACCAAAGTCTTCCCTTCCATAGTCTTTAATATGAATACAGTCAACTATCTTAGTTTATAACAACCTTTGGTGCAGGAAAACATGGTTGCTCAAGAGAAAAATCCAAGCAAAAACCTTAAAGCATTTGATTATTTCTGCTCTTATATTTTTTTGCTAAGGGAAAAAAGTACATGGAGTTCTTCAAATTAAAGGATTCCCATCAAATGGATATCATGCAATATCATAAATGACTGTTCATTACTATTTCTTGCTGCACCTGGGAGGTTGCCAATTAGAAACACTCACAAACACACTCCAAGAAAATCTTAGTAGTTGTTATTGCACAAGAAATTTGAGCAGCTATAGCAACTATAAAATGTTTTTTAAAAAGATTTCACTAACAAAAAGTTATTCACAAATTGATTCCTCAAGGGAAGTAGTTGCTTAGGAGAGTGGTCTGTTCCTATTCTTCCAGACATATTTTAGAGTAAATCAGTGTTTTCCTTGTATATCAACTTGTGCTTACAGCTTACACTGCAGGAGCTAAAATCTAAATTATCTAATGGGACATTTTTGTTCCATGATAATTAATGCACAATTATTAGTGTGCACACATTTACCATTGCTGTGTAAGAAACTTACCAGACACTGCTTTATGATTTATAAGTCAGAGATAAGGTTCCACAGAGTTAGCAATGATTTGCACACAGTTCTTAATATTATACTTTTTGCTTATAATCTCTAACTGAACCAGTCATGAAAGAACAGTGAATAGAATGCTGATTTACACTCTATTTCAAGTTATCACTCTTCACACAGAGTTGAAGACCTAAAATACACAATACTGATCCATGACTTATGACATCAATTTACAGCCTTTTTTTTCCTCTGTGTGAAGCAAGGACATTGATGAATAGGAATGTCTCACAGTGACAGATAAACATGAGAAGTTTGGTGTTCTTGAGACAAATTTCAAACAATACTATTAAATAATCAATTTTTTATAACAACAAGGCTCAGTTTGAAAAAAGTTCAACGGATACTGAAGCCAAGCTTCTTGTTTCTTAAACACAATACTCAGTAAAATTAAAGTACCACTTTGGTTGCTAGGAAATGTGCAATTTAATAGGCCATTCATGATTAAAGCCTTCAAAATTACACATAAGGACAGGTTGGGAGCAGCCCAACCCCAGGTGTACATACATTGTACTGAAGAAAGCCTATTGCCTGTCGGCAACAGTTTGAGCTGTTTGTGTCAACCTTCACACATTTGATGTCTGTTTTTGTCACATCATACATATTTGGCTTGTTTATAAATACTATCCTGAAGTCCACTTTACAAGGATGCCAAAATTAACCATGTGGAAATACATTCCATGTGATGAATTGGTTAATTTTTTTCTGTAATTTCTTTGAAAATACAGTTGTCCACAGACAATTTTCTAACAAAAGATAACCTACTATCACAAGTCAATATGCTGCTTAGATTAGCCATAATAACTTTTCCTTGACAAAGGTTGACTGAAATGTATTCAGAAGTTTTACCAGAGGATACCTGATACCTTACTTAAATCACAACATGTAACTTCTGAGTAGAAAATACCTACAAGCCTATTTCAAGAGAAACCTTGCTATTTTGTGAAAAAAGGTTTCATGCGAATGAGTACAAAAGCTTGTCACAACCTTAGTATATTCGACAAAATAATGTCGCCTTATCTAGAAAATTTGTGTGCTCCTTTTTAATTTTTTACTATCAGAGATAGCAGAGGATAAAAACAGGAACCCATATGCATAAAATAATGATCAGATGATAATTTTGCAAGAACGGAAAGAGTTTCCTGTCACCCGTTGAGCAATTTGTGTAAACATCAAATTCGCCGGGTCTAGCTTTTAAAAGGAGTCACGAAAACTCGAACAATATACGAATGCTCCGAGGAGCTAAAATCCACTTAAAACCAGATCGAATAAAAACATAGAGTAGAACTCAAGTTAAATATTGGACCAGGCTGCAAAATATACATACCGTATACATATTCATTGTGATCTGACAGTTAGAGAAATACACAAAAGGGTTTCCCTAATCAAAGAGATGTTAACAAAACTGACATGGAAAGTGACAAAACGAATTTTTAAGCGCATTTTATTTGGTCGGTTTTTCTTGATCAGACCGCTTTCACTAACCAAAAGAATAAAACAATCAATCGGCATATTTGTGTATTACACCACTTCGTTTATTACGGAAATCGAAGTGGCCCATTCTTTATCGCAGTATCGGTTGCTCGGTTATTCCTTGGCCTTGGCAATTCGTATTACTCCAGGGCATTTTGCCTAATGTTTAATTGAGCTGCAAATATATCTCAAAGACAACCGTCTATATTGCGCTTAGTGCAAAGATGTAAACAATTTTTCTGATTAAGCATACACATTAAGATTGAATATTTGCCATCGAAATGTCGGGTTCACAACCATAGGCACTAACGATCATGGACGAAATAGGAACTTCTGCCACTCGGATCTAAGTGTTCCTAGATTTGGCGACAAGTTTTCCGCAAATTTGGAGAAAAGCAATTATACTCATTGTTAGACAAAAATAGATCCCCACCGCGGAGGAAAAGAATCTTCGTCTTCTCTATAAACAATAATAATTTTAGCTTATTGTTGTGTTTCAATTTAGCTGGAATAAACACGTTTCTGCAAGAGTGGTCGTAAAAATTAAACGTCATTAATACTTCAAAATTTAATTCTCTACGCAAGGATGAAAACCCCTGGAAAGGTAAAGTTTACCATACTCTGAACTCCACAAAGTGAAGGCAAAATTCTGTCACATTTTTGAGGGAAAAGAGTCCTTTCTTTTTTATTTGACTTGTCACCGACCTGAATAAGTGTTTTCGCCAAAGTGATCTAAAACCCAGTAATTTTAACCTTGAACTTGTAAAAAATAATTGACTTACCTCACAAAAGGCGAGTACAGCTGGTGTTTACCTTTTTCCTTAGCCGAAACAGGCCTTGGAAAGGCAAGTTTGTCTGCAAAGTCACTCATAATCTTGCAAAAACTTATTCACAACAAACATGGCCGCCATTTTTAGCGCTTAGTCAAAACCATGACGTCACCGAAGCTTGTGTCTGATTGGTCGAGTTCAGACTTTGCCGCGAAATCCAAAATGGCGCGTTGGAATATCATCTTGAAAAAGTTTTGTTTACATCCACGGATGCGATTCGCCTCAAAGAGTGTGACCACAATTAGGCCCATTAAGTAAATAACCCTTAAAATACCACAGAGCTCTTTTAGCAATCTACTTGATGTCTTATAACATCCATGTATTCCTTTTCAACCATCTTTTCTTGAACTTTTTCTTTCTTTCCCGAAGAAATCGTAGCAAGAACAACGAAGAAACGTGTTCTCAACGTTTTGTAGTCTTAATATATGCAAAAATATACAAGAACTGTTTTTCTACATGGATATATTCACGGAGATTATAAAACTCCGGGATCTAAATACAAGTTAATAAATTAATGTTTGTTTTGAAAGTGTCCACGTAGATTTCATTTACAAACTTTAAAAGTTTAAAATACTTCACATCCCAAAGTTACATCTCTTCTAAAAAAAGATCGTCTTCGATAGAATTCAAATCAAGGTCGGAATTGTAATCTATAGGAAAGATTCCTTCGTCCTGAGCTTTGGGGTTTAAATTGTGTAATCCGTCATTCTGGAGGTCTGATAACTTGTTTTGTCCTTTGAGGTCTTCAATGATTTCGATCTCGGAATCCAGCTGTTTTGTTGGCGATGAAGTCGGGGTTATCATAACACTACTGACTGAAGCGTACAGAGGCGAAGAGGTGATTGGTTTCAGCGTGAAGTTCTCAGACTCAGCAAAGTAGCTTGTTAATTCCCTTGAACACTTTTTATTCTACAACAGAAATAAAAAACATACGAATTTGCATCAAGAATTATCTGGAAAAAGCGTTCACCGCGAACACGAGTCATTAAATTACCATGTATTTTGGTATCCGTAGTCCTTTTTTTCTGTTCTGGCAACGAAAATAGGACGTCTGCAAATGAAACAAAACATTCTGTTTAATTGCCGCTCTGAATTACTCACAAATCATTTCTTGCGTAAATGAAAACAAAAAACAAAAAAACAACAACTAAGTTAGAAACCGTCTTTTGTAAAATATTCATAAAAATAAATTATTCAAAACTACTCAGTGATTATTTAGCTTCTCATCAGGACTAACGAATAACAATTTTTTTTAGTCAAAGCGATTCTGAAATAAATTAATCTAAAATTGAGACCTCTTCCATTTTCTCCAAGTCTAAGGCAGGTCTGTGTGAGTCGAAATCGTCTTCAATTCTTCTTTTTACACCACTTTTCCTGCGATCGAAACAGGGTTGAGAACGGCTTCTGTGCAAACCTGACAGATTCGGTTTCCAGTTAAAGTTCAAGTCTCTATTCTCGTTAATCTTACTCCCAGTAGGATCAGATTTTGGACTTTCGTTTTTCATAAAAAGGTGTTTTTCCCCAAGGGTAGCATCTGCTGAAGCAGGTCTTGGTGTTGGCGAGGCAGGAGGTGTTGATATAGATTCCACTTCGTTGTTTATCCACAGCAGCTCGGCCAATTTAAATTTGTCGTCCGGGCATGATACCGATCGTGGTTTTTTCCCGCAGTTTTCTACAGGTTGCCATACCGCGGAAGCTCGCGGAGCCCACAACGATTGTACCTCTGTACTCCCCGGCAGCGACAGAGAAGAACATAATTTCTTATTTGCGGGTGGCTGAGTGGTACTGTGCATAGCTGATGAATCGGTCACAGAGCAGTTATTGCAGTATGTTCGTCCGGGTCGATGAGAAGGATAACTTCGCGTCCTTGAATGACCAAATATCTGTCGTACATCTCTACGCAGACAGTGAGCGAGAGGACATTCTGAAAGCAAAGTGAAATATTACATCGTGAACCATGTGTTTTGTAGCAGCTCATTCGAACAAAAACAATGCGTTGATGATTACATGCAAGTTTTTATTCGGCGAAATTTCCTAGCAAAGTTTATACAACTGCAGACAATTTCTCGCACCAATCAGAAGCGAAACATCTAAAATGCAATTTACCTGAAACGTGGTTATTCCGGGAAGAGATGGCTCGGAGCTGTAATGCATTTATCTGAAAGCAAAGCAGCGAAGAGTAAACATCATTGAAATTCGTGTCAACTCGCGATCGAATCAGAACGGAAAAGCTCCTACGACAGGTCTCTCGAATGAATATCAGTTAATTCAAATGTTACCTCGGGTTCATCGCTGGGGAGGTCCTCAAGCGATTGATTTTTTAGCTTGTCTGTTATGACAGTCACCATCGTGGTTTCCCCACATGAAGGCCACGATCTACAGTTCTCTTTGTATTGAATGACAGAATATAAATTTAATGAGTGACTGACGCGCGAGGCATTCACTCGAACTTGTCGACTGCCCTAAAAGAGAATTAAACCGGATATCAGCCGTCACAAATATAAATTCGATAAATTTAAAAGAACATGAATAAGATTTACCGTAGATAGGTCGTTCCCGATCGCTGCTAAACTAACCTTTCTGAGCACCGTGACATGTTGGGTTTAGTTTCGGATGTCGTAGTAGCAGTAGTAGTAAATTTCAATCGATTCTAGCATCTAACCAGCGGCACAGCGTAACTTCAGGGCCTGAAACAAACACATTTAAGATGTTATTCTCGTTTCTCTTTGATCTCTTTCCATGTTAAAATCAGTTTTTCTCGCAAAAAATCCTAAACCCCTTGGCAAAAGAAAAATTATCTTGCTTAGTACACGAACAAAATGAAATTACAAAGCGAAGCATTTCACTGCTACTAAGAAGGTACACATTTCGATCTATTAACGGAAAGGCCTTTTATGTACCTACGATTTGGCGATTTCTTTAGCTGACAGCTTGGTAAATTTGGCGATGAGTTCGATGCTTAGGTGAATCGAAGAAAATCGGTTAGATATTCTTGTTGAGTGTACAAACCGGACCAGTTTGGAGGGCTTTTGTGGCCTCTAAATGCCGAATAGGGTCTGTCTGATTATAAATGTCACCTTGTAAAGAACAATCTCTGCAACCAATCAGAGCGCAGCTACAGGTTAATGACTGCCCCTGATTGGCTCGTATTTCCTGCTGACGTCCACTTCTTTGCCATCAATGAATTTACAGGCAAAGAAATATTTTATTACCAAATCAACCAACCAACTCGTGTCGCTACAACGCGGACTTTGTGAGAAATTACACTAATGAATTCAGTCTCACCTCACTCCAAACACAATGTCACTTTTGACACGATTGGCTTCCTATCCCTGCATTGTTGTGGAAGATAAACAAGTAAAAGAAATTTGCAAGCCTTATTTATGTCCAGTCGAGCGCTTCCTCCCTTAAAAATGGAAACAGGATTATCGATGTGTGTATTATTTTTCATGTGCCAGTCGTTTATATCTCTTTCTAAACAGGAATGTTTCGTACGTAGTAGCGAATCGTACAGGCGAAGGTTACAAATCCCTCGCGGGTTTACGAAAATAGGATTCTTAATTTATTTTCCACCGAATTTTACTTTATTTCCTCTTGGTCTAAGTAAAATAGTAAAAACAAATTGAGGTCGTTGTAGTGGCAATGAATTATGCATATTCCATCTATATACACAATTCTGATACGATATTCGATTATTCAAATAAGCTACAACCTATTTTTTTATCCTTCTGTAGAGTTTTTCTCGTTAATGTGACTCATAGTACCTATTGTTAGCAGAACACACTCGGAGACACAACACAATTTTAGCATAACATATGAATATGCTTAAAATTCACCTGGAAAACAGTGTGAAAAGGCGGCAAGTGAAACCAATATCTTTAGCTGGCTGAATTAGATTTGTATGCCTTTTTCAGTTCAGTCTTGTCAATATGTTTGATTTGTTTGCCTCATGACGCAACATCTTTTGTTGCAATTCCGGAAAAAAATCCTTGAGTACTTAAGTAAATCTTACTGCCGAGCTGTTCTAAAAGAAAACATTTTAATACTGAAATTTGGTGGGTCAACATTGCACAGCAAAAGCATTATACCACCGAACCAAAACAGCCCAGGGGGAATGTGGAGGTCGCAATACATCGCTTCACTAATCATAGTAAATATCTTCATCAATCGGCGAAGATCAACTCAGGCCCCGTGAGCTTAAAGGCATGACACTTTAAAAGGAAAAGCTTAGCAGTTAATTTATTCACATGTCCAGGTTTGTTGCCGTGCAATTGCAAGGAGTTTGAATTGCTAAGCAGTTCAGTAAATAACTTAGTAAATTAAGCATATCTGGGTTTTTCATCACTGTCTCCAGTAGTGGATATTTTCCAAACAACCTCATCACAGGCACGAAATGACAACAGCTTTACAAACTGCTTACTTTTTAGTTCATTTGCACTTAAGTGAGAGTTTTCTTTGGTAAATAGCATTTCTAGCAGAGATGAAAGAGAGTGATCTCTGTTAAATGGAGAAAATAAAGCTGATTAAGGGAAACATCGCATGCATGGCAGTGAATACATACGGTGGGGAACTGAGTTTAAAAACTTCCTCCCTGTGAAAAGAAACCAATTAGAGAAAAACATTTTTGCATGAAATGAGGTTCTATGATGAGAAAAAATACAACTTCATTGTCTCTGTTCAAATGTATACCAATGTTAGGTCGAATATTTGTAAAAGCACGGTAAAAAAACAGCGGAAGCCACCATCAGGGTGTAATCTTGCACGCTAATTCACACTGAAAAATTGTCTTATTTCAAAGGGATTTCAGATAGAACTCCGTTGGTGATTCGAAACGCGCGCACTTTTTATATCTTTACAGGATACTTAACTCCAGCACCTGCCTTGGATATCACCGAGTGACAGCGACTAAACAAGCTTTATTCTTTCACCTTTTCAGCACGTCCTAGAACTTTTACAAATCTTGCCTAAATCCCGTTGTAAAAACATTTCGAAACTCGTTCATCATAGGTTCAGTCATCTGAAAAATGTAAGTTTCCATCTTAAGATACATTTGATGTTAGTTTTGAATGAAGCTATTCCGTAGATCCAAAAGGGAAACACTTCTGCCACCAGAATACGGCAGGGAAAGTTTTGAAACCAATGTTAGTAATAAGTACAATCGCAGGCCTATCATCACCTTGTATTCCTAGGCTGCAAAGGCAAATTTTCTGAAATACAAAATGAAGTGTCTTAAACTAGCCCATTCACGCGATGAGTCTATGCTCTGTGTGTAGTAAGATAGTATCTTCTTCACTCCGGACTGACTCAAAGATTCTAATCTCCATTTAAATATATAGTTATCACATAAATGCTCAAATCATGAAATGGAAAGTGAATAATATTATAAATAATTCCACCTAGCTGGGAGCTTAGAGTGCCTCATTCTGCATCCCTGTTAACGGTAAATACTCTAAAATTAAACCAGATTTAAACCGGCCTGCTTTTCTCTGACCTGCTCATAACGGCTTAAGAAAAATAATACGACCAGATATCTAAGAAATGTTGAAATACTTTCCTCGGGGAAATGGAATATAGATATTGTTTTTCTCGTCCTTTAAGTCAACCGGCTCGAATCTTTTCCGTGTTCGAAGCCTTTTCTTCTTCATGTGATTTAAAACTTTACAGTTACCTTCTCCAGACAAATCTACACATTACCAACCGCAATCTTTTCGGAAAACAGCATTCTTGTATCGGAGATCAATACAGTCGCCGAATACTATAAAGATCTTAAAAGCCGGCTTCGTTTCCAAATTTGTTCGCACACCATTAACATTTCATGCTGTCTCGAGAAGAACACTTCAGCTCACCTTGAATGTAGATTAATAATATGCAAACCCATATCATGATTTGTACTTTTTTTTCTCTTTGAGGCAAATGTTGAAATAAATTATTTGAAAAAACGCGATCAAAACCTCCCAACGAATTTGTCGTGTTCTCAAGTGTTATCACGTTTATTTTCACACAATATCACGCTTATTTGAGTTACTAGCACATGGTCAATTCTCATGCTAGAAGCTACTTCATTTACATGAAATGTTCAGTGCCGTATTCTGCCTAAGGACTGAGTTGAAATGGATAACGAAGAATGAAGCTGAATGATTTGAAAATAAGACTTGAGTCTGTCCTTCGATAAATTGCATCCTTTCGTTATTTGCTAATATGGAAATCATTTAATGAAAATATTGTTCACCTTATAAACTAAACTAATTTCGATGAGGAATAAAAATACAACAATTACTTCAATAAATACCGTGACTGGAAATCTCTAGATCATATTAAAGCAATTTTTTTTCTAAATCGCAAATTCAATCAGACACTTACCGAACCTTTACGACAAAACTGACCGATCACTCGGCAATTTCAAGTAACGTCAACTGGGCGAGAGAGAAATCCAAGCCGGCTATCTGTCTCAACTGATAACCAATTTACGCGTTTACTCCGCCTTTAATTTCGGAAGAAGAAGACTCACAAAGGTGACAATTCGTGACAAGCTTAAGTTCATTCATAAAGATATTTTCCCACCCGCGAGAGACGTCAATTTGTTGCCAGCTTGTCAAAGGAGAATTTTAACTTAGTTAAAACTCCTTAAAGGATGTTCTTTAAAATAAATTAATTTTGCTTCCAGATATAATAAAAAGCTCTCTGTAACATTTTATTAGTGTTGTGCCAATAATTTTAAGCTAAATTTCACAATGTGCGTTTCCTTTTGTGTTTCAAGGTGTGTTCAAATCCCATCGATCTATGATTGGTTTGTCCGAGACGCGTGCGGAGAGAATTTCCATTCAGTAAGCGGTGTGAAGTGTGATAAGAGATTCAACAATTTCGTATCGATTCTCCGCGAACGAATTTTCATTTGCACATTTCATTGCCTTCATGCATGAGTGGGAAATATAATATGTGGTAAAAGAGTTTGATTTCCATATCTAAAAACGCGATGGTTTTTACAAAGAGAATATATTTTTGAAGTGGTTTTCAATAAAGATAATTTATGGAACAAAAGAAGTTGATTCCCAGCCTCACGAAATACACTTTTATCCAACAAATTAATGATGAAATTGCTACAACTCAGTAATATTTTTCCTGGATATTCTGCATTGTTTTGTGTTTCAAGTTGTTTTACATTTTACACTGAGTGATATCAATTTAGCTGATGTTTGAACATTATACGATTAACTAAAGAAGCCACTCGCCGTTAATTACGTAAATAGCGCTCTTGGGTCACGAACGACTCCGTATCTTGCATTCTATCTTTATTATCAGGCTGAAAAGTTTGGTTTGATATCTTGTAATGCTCTCTAATCAGAAGGGGTTTTAAGTTTGGTTTCAGAGGTCACGAAACTTTCACTGTTCCTGTACTCGAAGTTTTAGTTACTTGAAGAAGGATACCATGAAATATCGTGATAAAATAAGGTCAACTTCTACAACTTAAAGTGAGCTAATAATTGATTTCAATTCAACAAGCTTCAAAAACACGAAGAATATCAACCTTTTAGGCTACATATATAACGACTTGAATTAATCCATAACCCAAGCAAAATGTTAATTACTTTGCTCCTACCCTAAAAGCTTATTCAAAATTACACAGAGTCATACTTCAGGTGCACGTTCTATAGGTCACGAACCAAGCACCCGAAAGTACCCGTAACTGTTGCCTTGACAGATGAACCAAGGATTGATTAGAGTTCCAATTTGTAAGAATGCTCAAAAGTATTGCACAAGTATTCTTCCGTTTTCCTTTCATGGACTCAGAAATGAAGCCAAACGGTTTTTGTTTACGTTTCCAATATTGTTTAGCAATCACAAGATACTCCGTCAATATTTTGGTGCCTGCATGACCGGAGCCAGTCAGCCGTCTGCGCAAGGCATTATCCTGCCACACAATTCGACGAGGGCAGGAAATCTCTCTCAGGATATCTATCACTCCCGCACTGTATCGTGAAGATCTCCAAAATCCTAAGGACTTGTAGCACAAGTTTTGATATATTTAATTCTCTTCTTCTGCTGGCAATACAAAACTTTAGCTGTCAATTTATCTGTCTAGAAAGTAATATTTTCTCATTCCAAGAGCTGGGTGTGCTCTCGTTTGTCAAAGTTTCATTTAAACTAGCATTTTTCTGAGACGGTAATTAGTCGCAATAAGGGCGAACGGGAAACAGAATAATTAATTTGGGGTTAAAACACAACAAACCTCGATATTTCTCGAAGGGTTAAAAAAAAATCCACTAAGAGAGCTTGCTGGGCTAGAGCACTTCTTATACCATTTCGATCTTCGGTTTTTTTTTTTTTTTTTTTTTGAGAATTAAGCCATACACAGGAGAGCTTGTTTTCTTTCTGCGCTGACCGATATCAGACAGGAGCCGCATATCTTACGCCGTTCTCTTGATGAAAAGCCCTTGTTTTGCAGGGCCGGATATTCAGTACTTATAAAAGGAAATACATTCAAATTTATAAGACTTGCCTTTCGCTTTTCCGTTCGCTAACAATGAGGTTGAGACTGAAATTTTCGGTCCCTTAAACGGAGTCCCGCCAACTCAATTCATATGGTACGGTATGCCTTTTGTAGAAGAAACAACAATGAAGGGGAAGGCGAGAGATATTTAAAGAGATGCTAAAATCCAACCGATAACTATTAAATTTGCCAAGGAGGCAACAATTTTCATTTTCATCTGTTTATGCAATTAGGGGTGAAAAGGCTGCATTTATTTTCCCTTTCAACACAATAACACAGGAAGCAACGAATTTGGCCAGCTTCCCACTTCTCATCATCAGAGTTTAAGATAAGCACTCACGGAGGTATTCTTTTTTTCATTTTATCGATCACGAAGGCGGGAACGAAATGTTTATAAAATTCTCTAAATCGCCTTAAGGGTTGACATGGATTAAGAACGATTGATATGTGTTTGAATAAACTCCCTTTCACAGTTGAGAACTCCTATAATTGTTATTTGGGTCCTTCCAGTCCACGTGGAATTAACAGAGCACGTCTATCCAATAAAATCCCACATCAATAAGTTTTGTATCACATGCAATGTGATGACAAAAGAATGGGTATTACACGAACATTTATATCATGCATTGATAACAAAAAAGATTGGCTTCTTTTCGTGGAGAGAGCGAAAGAAAAAAAAACGTGCCTTGCCACATGTGTATTGTACAAAGGTAAAACGCTGAGTTAAAGAATAACTAGAAAGAGTACATGGGGAAAATCATGCTAATTTCTTGGAAAACGGAATACTGACTTGTCAGGTTCAGAAAACAAAGACAGGGGAAGAAGAAAAAAAAATTGCTATTTTCTTAACTGAATTACGGTGTATTATTTAATGAGTTTTCACTGGATGAATTTCAGTATTTCATTGTAATTTTACATGGAATAATTACGAAATCAGAGCCAAACTGCGGACGTGTTTGCGGTTTAGTAAAACTGAAGCCATGACGCGGACGTCATTAACTCCCTTGCGAAATAAACATTAGCAGCAAAAACCCAAATTGAACTTGTTTCAAGGCGTGTAAATCAGGTCATGAAAGATTTCTAATGAGGTCAGGATGAAGATTCTTGTTGAGCGATAGCTTTCAACAACACTTGATTCGGATGTTCAT